TAGAGAGGAAAACACAAAATATTTGATGGTAGCATAGCACCTGTACTTTAGCTCCCCTTCCACTTCAAGCCAGCCACTTCCCCTCTCCAATCAAGCAACCAGAAAGATATTTTAAAGAGACCCTATAAAAAGGCAAGGGTGTGTATGTGTGTGTTTGCTCCTTTCCATCTCTGAGATTGGTGGAGAGCACAGAGATTAAAACACATTGGTCCATTTTCATCTGAGAGGCGACAGAGCTAATTATATAAAAATTGAGTTATATTTGTTTTTATTTAAAAAGTCTATTTTTATTGTGAATATTTTATAAACACGAATTACATTAGTTTGATATTCCAAAAGACTCTGCTGGCTCAGTAAATAATTAAACAAGACACTTCATGCCCAATTCACAGAAGCAATTATAAAAGACCAGTATCTCCAGATTTTATAATTAAAAGAATCCCGAGCTGCTACACTACCCATAGACATCACAATGAAGACCAGGACATAAGTTCATAAAATAGCTGCTTAATATTTTTTTGAATCTTTGTCTCAATGAACATACCATTTTCAACAGAATAATTTCAGTTATTTATCTAAATTATTTAGAGGCAATCTCATTACATACATGAAAGGTCAGTAATCATGGTTGGAATTCGACTTGTGCGGCAGCCTTGCACATAGATCTTATGCAGCATTTCATTGTTAAATGCCAGTAATAATGAACTAGCAATCAGCATTTGTATAGTATAATCTTCAATAAGAGGCAAAGTTTACAGTACAAAAAGGGCAATACCATTATGCACATCACCTACAAAAAAGACTTGTTAAGGTTTCTGATCCTGCTAATGCGTATACATTCTTGACTTCAAGCATGCCAATAAGTCTGAAATACCCACTTTTTCTTTCTGCCAGGGAACCGGAGTCAATATGTGAGAACATTGGCTCTCCCCTATTATTTCTTTGTTTCAGGTCCTGAGCCCTCGTTTTTTGGACACAGATTGAAACTAGAGTCCTACTTGGCTTTGAAATAATCGTATTTTAAAGCAGTGCAAAATTATATGAAATAGAATTAATATTTGGTATGAAATTAAATGAATAGGAGAGACAGGATTTCACCCCGATTTTTTTTTAACTCTTCTCCATTCTGTTTGTGTATTTACTGAGTCTTCCATGTGTTTCTTCAGGCATGTTAAAACAAAGTTGATTCCAACTACGTTTTCCCGTTTATCCTATTTTTTCTCTCACTTTTTTCCTATTTAATGAACTTTAATTTCTTAAAAGTTATTAATACTGTTGTATTTATATTACAATAGCATCCAAGGATCTCAGTCAAAAGGCAGGACCTCTGGTGGAAGGGGTGGGGCTGAGGGCAGACAGCCCTTAGAGCCACCTGGAATGTGCTGCCCAGTGTTTTGGTGGCGATTTAAAGGATCCAGGGATCCAGGTGCCACCACTGCCATAGTAGTGGTGGTGATGGCTGGGAGCCCTGGGCCCATTTGAACGGCTGGACCCCAGGGCAATTGCCTACCTCCCCACCTTGGTGGGCCTGAGCAAAGCTAAGCCCGTGTTCACAAGAAGCACGTTTCCTTGGTTTTATTGATCATGCTCAGTGTGATGGGGTGCCGGTTCCTACTGCCACGGAACCAATGGTGCCCCGCACTCCGGAGCCCATGAGGGGTGAAAGGGATGCCTGCGGGGTTGCCGCAGCACGGGACACGGCGTTTGCCGACCCCAGGAGCGGGGGAGGCAGCCGCTCCCGATCAGCGCCCCAGGTCACGTGCCCCCCGTGCACGGGGCTAGCCAGGAGAATGGGTTCCCCTCCACGGGTGACGTCATCGGGAGGCACCCACGCGGAGGGGGCGGTGCTGCGGGAGGCCAGCCCTCAAAAGGGCACCAGGGGCAGCAAGAGGGAATGGCTTTGGCTGGGGCAGAGGAGCCCGGCACGGAGGGAGCTGTGGTTAACGGCCAGCGGAGGGAAGTGGCGGATCTCAGCGGCAATGAGCCTGGAGAGGAGGAGGAAGTGACCCAGGATGGGGGCGACGAGCCACGGCCGCGCCTTAACCGACGCCCGGAGGGTTGGTGAGTTACGGGGAGGAGTCCCCACCTACCAGGCAGCGAGCCTGCGCTGCTGCCTTTAGGGTCCTGGGTCGGGACTTGGAGCGAGGGTGGGCCCAAGTCCCCCTCCTCCCTCGCAGGCACCATCTAGCGCCTAAGACTGCCAAGACTCAGGAGGCTCCGGATCTGGCCTCGAACCTTCTGTGCATTGCGAGCGCGGCTAGGTGGGAAAGGGGGAGCACGTTGGGGAGACTGAAAATAGGGCAACACCGGCGGGTATCCCCGATGATGACAAGGCTGTAAGCCTGAGGGGCAACCTGGGCCCGTGACACTCAGCAAAAAGAAACTTGCGCAAGCGGAAAACACAGGTGTATCCAGATAAGCACCAGGTAACTATTTAGATAGACCTTGTAAAATTTGGATGTAGATGTGTATTTTGAAGCATTCAGAGTTCTGGGTTTTTAAATATGCAGTTTTCATTCTGTCCATGTATGACAAGGTGGACTAAAACCGGAGGCCCCCTACTGCAGGTCCTGTGGTCCTGACACAGCACACCCCAGAGAAACTATAGAGAAGTCTTCCAAGCAATCTGGCTAGGAGGGCCTATAAAAAGAGCTGCAGGACTACAGGTAGCTCAGTGGTGCTGGAGATTTCAAGAAGGGAAGACTGTAGGTGGCTGATTGAGGAGAGCTCCATCGGGTGAGCTCTTCTGGACTATGTTGTACTGAGGTAAGGCCTTGAGCTAGGAACAAGGATACGTCCTCAGGAAGGGAAGCCCTGAAGGCATCATTCTCTCTGAGCGCTAAACAGACTGACTACATAGATGGGCCCCTGCTAAAGGTGTACCCCAAGAGGGGTTTGTATTTCACACAAGGTGTGACTCTGCCAGAGAGCTGAGTAGACAAAAAGATGACATAAGGAGAGTCCAGGCATATGCATTCGGCTAGACAGAGGTGCTCATAGGAGGTGAAGGCCATACCATTACACGCCCAGGTTGATTAAGGTAATTGCAGCCCTAGACACATCTTCTGTCCCTTCCTCTCTGATATGGTTCTGTCCATCTTAGAATAGCTCAGAGAGGGACCACTCACATGCAGACCATTTGCTGGGCTAGTGAGGATTCACAACCATTTCTCTTTGTGCAGGCTGGGCCTCCCACCTCACAGGACCATCCCTTCCAATCTTAGGGGGGCCATGCTTGGATCCTATTGTGAAGGTTCTTCACATGCATTGTTTTGCACAGACATGTGGGTTCCCAACTGAAGGTCTGACTTAGACAGGTGCTTTTACGTCTCTGAGTGGCCTGAACCTCCCTCTGTTGGATTGTACCCTGACTGCTGGATAGATAATCTGTGGTTTTCAATAGCAGTCAGCAATAGCAGTCAGTACTTAATTTTCTTTCTATGTATCTATATGCTCAATTAGGTGTTTAATTGAACATAACTGCATGTACTAAATTTATCCTTTGAAAAATTAGCCCTGTTCAAGTTAAGAATCACTATTTTCTTAAGGAGGAATGACCATTTTAGAGCAGGCTGCCTTCTCCTCCTATGTCTCCTAAAATGTATTGTATCTGCTAAGAGCTACACCAAATGAAAAATGTATGTGGCTTTTATTCTAAATTGCAGGATCCATGAAATATTAAAACTTGATTTTGGAGGGTTCTACATCTTTTTGGAGATGTAGAATCCAGACATAATTTTCTATTTACTAAGCTTTTAAAAAGTTAATCAGTAATATATGCAGTCATCCAATCTCTCTGTACC